AAGCTCCCACCATTGATGTTAGACATTCAATGACTATTTTATAAAAATATGTGTCTTTCTGGAGTAGGTATTTATGGACTTCCACCAACGGTCACTCACCCGACACAGAATTTATGGACTTCTACCGACGGTTCTACGTACACCAACACACTTTATGGACTCAATACCAACAGGAGTGCGCATTCAAAATTTTCAGATCTTGTCTCAGAGGGATAATCTAGTCCTTCTTGCTAATCTTGACACTCTTTTGAATGCAAATTAGTGCGACTTAGTCAGACTTAGGTCTAAATTTCCCGAACTCATGCATCAACCCACCAAATATGGTGTTTGATTAAAAGCATGTACATGCACCCACAATCATGTCGAATGCCTACAAATGTAATGCTACCATGCATATGCAAATATAAGTACAATTGCAATTCATTTCATTATACTCATCGTATCATAAAGTATATAATAAACATATCTATTTTCCACAAACATTCCTCAACATGTCATATATGATTTCAATTCAAAGAACATACTCAAATCCTAAGCATTTCATCAAAACACTTAGTGGACATAAAATGTAAACATATAGCATACTCAGATAAGTCATTCCATCAAATTCAAACACTTTTATAAGTCATTCCATCAAACCAAAACACTTTACCACCGGTAAGTCGTGCCTTTCCTACTGGTAGGTTCTCATTTTTAAAACCAAACCAAAATCAAGCTATAATGGGCTTTAACATACTCATATACTCATTTTCCATACCCTAGATATACTAGGTGTGAGCTAACATATAAGATCATATCTTTATAGCCCTGCCTATTTCATATAGCAATTCTAGGTTGAAAGTAAACTTAGATAGAAAGGAACAATACCTCTTGTAGCGTGCGCACGAGATAAAACGACTCCTCACGATGCCAAACAATGCTTCGTTCAATCCTGACCAAAAACTATGATTTCTAAAATGTGTCTCAAATAAGCGTGGATGGTACCCACACATAGCCCTCGCCGTTCTGAGCAATTTTAGTTCTTGCTCCTAGGCGAGTTGTCGCTCGAATCTTGGTAGATTGAAGGAAGAAGAAGAAGATGAATTTCTTTTTCTTTTTATTTTTTCTCTCTGTCTCTCTCGACTAATGCTTTTAGTGTGTGGTGGAGACTAAGTCTCCTTTCTTTCTTTCTTTCTTTATATACTTGACCAAAAATGGGCCACATGTCATTGTTTGATTGGTCCAATTTTATCCCAACCAATCACATTTCGTGATGTGTCATATTTAATATAATTTTATAAGATTTACTTTAAATTATATTGTGGGTTTCGTGATTAAAATCTGATCGCAGAATTTTAATCGTGTGATACCCAATTGTATTGTAACACTTAAAAATCTGACTGTCTTGAAATTCGATAAAAATTGATAGACTAGCCCAATTTTGCGAGACAAATCAAACAGTGAGATCCATTTCGTCATCTGAGTTTTATAAAATTTTTGGACCCTTGACCCGTGCTTTAACAACTATATCATTTTATCCCTTTTGTTATTTTTAAATTCAAATTTTCCAGGTTTTATAATTTGCACCCTTTTTCGACATCCTCCACCACTCTTTCTCTCTTTCCAATAGCATCCCTCCCCATTTTTCTATCATCACACTCTCTCAGGAGCCCTTTCCACCTCTCTCCACTAGCACCACACATTCTCTCTCTCTCCCCCCCACCCTTCCGACGGTGGGTTCCTCTTTAACTATCATCCCTAAGTAGATAGCCCTTGATGTTCTTTGTTGAGGACCCTTATCGCCATGATTTCCAACACCTCTACCCTCTTCCAATGAAACCATGATAGCCCCTAAGCACCCACCCTTGAACCCTAGACAGAACCTAGTCCCCTTCCTATCTCTAAAACCCACAACTAACCTCAACCTCCACCACCGAAACCCTTAATCATCTCTAACTAGAACCACCACCGAAAAATTTAGAGCCCTTCTAGAAATACCCCACTCAAAAACACAATTATCATCACCTATAAATTTAATAACCATTAATTAAGGAAGTCCAATTGAATTCATTAATTTCCTAACAAACTAAACTAGGCTTGGAGGATTTATCACCAACCACATTGACTGATGGTTTCAGTTTTGCTTTGAAATAGTGTTCATTAAAATTGGTGGGTAGGTCTAGGTCACTGTTTGAGTGAAAGCATATAAACTTCAATTGATGATGTTAAAACTCAAAAGAGTGAGACAATTGCTTGAACTGAGAAGCTCAAGGCTTAGGAATAGTGGTTTGTGAGTATGAACAGTGTGTGAGAGATAGATGCGTGGCTGGGCCTAGAGGCTCTATAAATGCTATAGGAAATGTAGAACGGAGGCAAGAGCTAGGGAATGAGACAGAACACACAGACTATATTGGTTCATCAAACAAAGAGCTTGGCTAATCCACTCTAATGGAGTCACTTGCTCCTTAGGAGGTTTTTTATTGCTTGGGATAGAAGATAGGAGCTACTAATGCTGAGATTACAATTATTGTGTCTATACATGGGCAATTGCCCTTATATATATCCACACATGGGGTGGTCCTCACGTTATCATCACGTGGTCCCCTGTTTGTTAGGATTTTGTTAGGGGAATATTTGGTTGTTAAAGGCTATATTCCCTAGGTGTGACGTGACATTCTAGACCATGATGAGGTGGCATTGAGACCTATCCCTAAGTCTAGATACTTTGTGATCTTTCATGTCTGTGAGAGGTCATTTTGCTTGAGTCGACATCTTGTTCCTTTGGATAGCTCATGGATAAAGGACATCGTTCCGTTTTCCATATAGAGTCGGCCCAAATGCAAGGCAACTTAGGCAGCCTCTTAGGGCCTCGCCTGAGAGGGGCCCATATTATTTTTATGATTAGTTATAAATATATAAGCATTTCTTTGTCTTAGATTTCTCCTTTTATTTACCCACATAATATATCAAAAGCCTTCTCTTTTTAGGGCATACAAGATAACTACAAGTTTAGCACTATTTTTTATATTTTTTTTGTGTCAAACTATTAAATCATGAGCAATTTTGTTGAGATTTAATTTAATGATCTAATGATATGTCAAGTCATAAAAGTCTCGTTTAAGAAGTTCAACATGGTTGCAACTAGAATATTGTTACATTACTAAATTAACAAATTATGTCAGATTTTTAGGTCTCAACAACATCTCTCTCAAGTAATTTATGTGATTTTTATATGCTAACTCACAAACTTAAATACATATTATGAAAATCTTGAGTAGTTTGTAAAATGTGATCAACTTTTTTTATATTCATAAGTTGGATTTATTTGTCTAGCTGAAAATGTAAAGTGGTTTTACAAACAAACACTAATACTTCAATCAAAATATTAAACCGTGAAGAAAGACTAGGCTTTTTCTTTTCCTTTGTTTTTCGGTGCATTAAGCTTTTTTTTTTTCCTAATATGTGTATTGCTTATACAATAATATTGATAATACACATATCAATTGCTCTTGCAAAAAAAAAAAAAATTAAAACTGTTCCTACTTGTGATGAATTATGTCACAAAAATATTAAGGTCATACTATGTATTCAAAATGTTATAATAATAAAACTCAAGTATGGAAGGTAAATTTAGTAAATTTTACATCTCAAAAAATAAATTTTAAAATTTTAGTTGTATTACTTATAAAATAACATTTTCACCTAGGGCTCGGAATAGTACTAGGCCGCCCTGCTTCCTCATGATGTGATATGGATGGCCTAGGCACGTTTACCTAAGCTGAATGTACAACCAGAGGTATGGAGACAGACCTCATTATTGGACCCTTGCTGAAAACAAGATACGAAAATATCCTTTCACTCATTTTAAGTATTATTTTTGGTATCATCATCAATAATGGCTAAAATCTTCAGTCACTCCTCTATTTGTCTCTTCCACTCAGTCTCATTGTGTTTCCATGACTAGATAGTCCGACTAAAATAATCTAATTTGGGGGAGTGTGGTTGAGGGTGGGAGACTGAGAGAGGTAGAGACGGGGGATGTGTTTTTGACTGAGGTGGCAATTGGGGTGGAGCTGTAGTGTACAACTGACATTGGTTGTCTCTCGATTGTTGCAAACTTGAAGACAATGACATGGCCTCGTGGGATTGCTCTACTCTAATACCAACAAAGATTGAACTAGTATAGAATTTAAACTTGTCTATCTTAATGAAGGGCCTCATTATCATTTTATAATTTGTGAGAATAATAAGACGGATGTCACTGTGTTATTATCCATATAGAAGGGGTGGTTCTTTTCATTTGGACAAACCTCAAGGAAGGTGGATGTAATTTACCGTTTTTTTTTAAATGGTCCAATTGTTAATTTATGTTCAAATAACTAGCAAATAGGGTTATTCTTTTAATGATGGCCACTGCATATCCTCTTTAGTTAGTTATTTGGGCAGATGTTAGCGAAAGAACCACTTAAAAATAAATTGAAAACCAGAGAGACTAAAATATTATAATTGTTAGTTAAAGCATCGAAAGTGAGGCTGACCACCTACTTTGGGGGACGACATGTGTATTATTCCGTAATATTAATGATATGAGAAAAATATTAACGCATTTAATGATGAGATTTGAGTCGAGGATCCCCTTGTGGCAATAGTCAGCGAATCCAGACCTCTTTCTAGGGAAGAATGAAATTGAGAGAATTAACTAAGTTGCCAAGCATCAACTAGGTGAGCACCTCAATTCTTTCTTTGAATTCTATTAGATTTGTCTCTATATAAGTATACAGAATATGTAGCTAAAAGTTATTTGCACATGCTCCCTCATTTAGTCAATATGCATGTAGCCACACACAGCATGCCAATTGGAAACAGTTTAATAAAGATGATCCTACTGTGATTGCTGTAATATTTAGCAAATTGCATATGAATACGCAAAGAGGAGGGCCAATCTTGTATTGGTTGCTCGAAGAGAGAATAGGCTCCGAGGGATTGGTGAGAATGCTGGACGGCTGGGCGCAAGTCACGTGATGATAACTGCTGCTGATGTTGTCAAGGAAGATGATTGTAGGAGGTTCATCAATGAGACCATAAACTTTTATGGGCGTGGTAAGTCAGAAGTGTCACCTCATTTTTGTTTGAAAAATCGGCATTAGTCATGATACCATGTAGATGGCTTATTTTGTTGTTAAGCCTAATAATTTTTTTCTCGACATGAATATGCATAAAGAATAAGAGACCCAATTTTTAACATTCTCAAAAGGGAAAAAAAAACTCAGTTATGTTCATGTTTGTTATCTAACTTTGTGCTCGTGTCATAGAACAAAATGGAGCAGCAGCAAAAGTTGCATTTCACTTTTGTTCAACATATAGCATGCTCTCCAGTATGACGCCTCATTGTTTACTTGAGAAGAAGACATTTATAATATGTGGTAACATCGTAGACTTGGAATAAGACAGCTCATCATTGTATGGACATATATAATACGCAGCATTAAAATTTAAAAGTCCCTACAGAGTCATATGTATCCTTCAAATCATAGTGATTGTAAAAGAGTGGTCTTCATAATATCTATTTCCGGGACAGAAATCACCTAGCTTGTACAGAAGGGGGCTGAATCCGGACCTTTCTTGCACTTGATCCAACTTGCTTTTGTAACCTGTTTCGTTGATAATTTCATTTGACCAACAAAACTTTTGCAACATAGTTCAGTAGACAATGGTGCTTTGGTCCCAAAAACTTTCTTCTGCAACCACTGTGTAATGTCCTTTGTTCACTTTGGCGCCACTTATTGTCCATAATTGTTATTTTCTTTTGTTCTCTTTTATGCAGTGGATCATCTAGTAAATACAGTCAGTCTGGGACATACTTTCTACTTTGAGGAAGCCAACGATTCATCTGTGTTTCCCATTTTGATGGTAAAGCGGATAAATTTGTTCGAAGTTTAAGCATCCTGAATTGTTTCAATTTTGGTCCTTAAAATAACCTCATTTTGATCAGCAACTTTCAATTTTGACACTTTTTTGTTCTTTAGGTGGTCCAATCCCTAACTTCAGTAAAAATAATGCATGGAGGGGATTATGTATCTTTTTACAATATGCTCGATGGCCAATTCTGTCTATTATTTGAACGAAAGTGAGTGGAAGGACCAACTAAAAAATTAGAAATATAAAAAAAGCAAACAATTGGAAACCATAGGGATTAAACTAGCAGAGTGCAGGGGGATGGACCAAACTAAGACTGATCACATGGATCAGGAACCACTAATGTAATTTACCCTTTATTAGAATGTATGAATTGCCAGCGCTTTATATTAACTGATCGTAAATCCTCTCAGGACATAAACTTTTGGGGAAATGTGTATCCTACATACGTTGCTCTTCCATACCTGCGACAACACCATGGTCGAATCATCGTTAACGCTTCAGTTGATAGCTGGCTACCTTTGCCAAGAATGAGCTTATATTCTGTAAGTATGTGTGCAGTCCTCAAATTTCTACCACTGCTTGACTAGAATCTGGCCCTTCTGTATTCTGTAACATTTGCTGGCAAAAGTTCCATGCTCAGAATGAAGTAATTCTGAGATGTGATTATTTTCTAAATTTCTGAAATTCATTTTGGACTTCAAATTTCTTAAAGTCAGAGGTGAAACATAATTTTTAGTAACAAATTGCTCTCTATCTGATATGGCTAAGACAGCAAATGGTAGCTCACCTCAATTTTCAACTAATGTTGGTACATCAGTGGTGAGAAATTTTTTAATGGATGCGAGTTGTCCTATGTCAAACAGTAAATGCACAGCGCCTTTCAAAATTACTATCAATACGTATTATGAAAGGTACAATTGTCTTTCTGAATATCAATTAACCAAAAATGTTGAAACTGATGATACATCAAGAGGAAAAATTGCATTAGTCTGATAGTTCCTTTAGAGTAGCAGTATAAAGTCACTTTTTTGCTATTGCAGTATAAAGTAACTTACAAATTAAGAAAATATTAAATTTCATCAGAATATGATTTTTGGGTTTGTACATAAAATTAAGTTTATATCTTTAGTTATGTTGAGTGTAGGGTGAGCAGTCGAGGCTGCTCTGGATTAAGTTGAGCATGATCCAAGCTTCAAATGGATTCAAGTTTGTGCCCATTTATTGGATTTAGGTCATCCCAGTCCAAAACGGAATTAAGCTGATCCAGAACAATTTTAGCCTTAACAGTAATGATAGAAGTCAAAAGATTTAGGCTGCTAGCAATCAGAACCATACTGTGTTAGAAAAAATATCAAAAACTGGGCTGATTAGTTAACTGAACCATATAATTT